AAGCAATAGGAAAACCTCATAAGTAATACCATAAAAGAAAACAAAAAAACAAAGTATAGCAGTGATAAAAGAGGTTAGGGTTTTTCAGCTATGGAAAATGAAAGCAAGCTACATATAGAAATTCATTAAAATAACAGATGGACCCAAATTTAATAGCGGCAGAACTTCGTTACTGGTTTTTGCTACAAAGGTCATTGTTGCGTTCTACTTGCTTTCACTGAATTACTGAAAGTGAATGACTAAGCAACGAATGAGCAAGACATGTAGTTGATTTCAGAGCAATGGTAGTTGTGGAAAATGAATGGACTTTGGTAAAATGAGGCTTAATCAAAAAATTGATTTATAAATATATGTCATTTTATAGTTCGACGAGACTGTTTAAATGTTTAATTTCAGCTAGTCAAATTAAATTTAGTAGGCTAAAAAGAAGAGCAAAAAACTGCGCAGTAATTATGCAATAAGAAGCAGGAATTAGCAGATTTTTCAGGAAAACTCTATTCTCTTTTTTAAAGTGGAAAACATGCCTTATTTGCATGATATTACTTGAAAAGCAAACAAAGGATAAGCTTTGCGTACTTTCTAACGGTCTTCAAAAGAAGCGAGGTAGTTTTTTGACAGAAACTAGGTCTCTAAAATTGGGATATCAACTGACGATAACTATTGGTAAATAAAAGCGTTTCCTAACCAATTCAGACATGACTAAATAACTACATTAGCAGACGAGTAACTGCGCGTTAACATGATGAGGTGGAAAATTCAAGGAAATAATCAATGACTGAAAACGACTACTGTAAATAACGCGTAGTTTTGTTGAAGTGAAGACAAAAAATTTAATCAAATTCTGTTTAGATGACGTTTAGCTTGAAGGTTCAGAACTGATAAGGTTGTACATAGCACTCTCCTTCAGTATCATTGAATGATACTAAAATTAATAAAAATTTTTGCTACCACCGAAAGACAGTAACTTAAAATTTTTTGTTTGAGACAAAATTTAGCCACTTCCGAGGTGAGGAGAAACTCAAAAATTATCGATCTTGAAAGTTTTTTGAGACTTAAGCAAAAGCAGCAAAATTTATGGCTACAACAATTTTTCCGCAACTCTTTGACTATTAATTTTTATAATCTTCAAACTTTTCCACTGTTGTAATATTTTTTAACAGTAAGTATCAACATTGGAATATTGAATAGAGACATCAAAGCCTATTTACCGTAAAAAAGAACTTTTTTAGCACACTATTGGCTGCTTTTCCAAATTTATTTTGGTAAGAAACAGCTTTGTATAGTTTTTTTGGCCATTTAGTGTGGGCAAATTACATTTTAGCAATTTGCTTGAAGAAAATAATGTTCAGAAAAACTGCAGCTGAAATAAGAGAATGTTCTTAAAACGATTTTTTTAATTGGGACTAAAGACGTTGTGACTGCCATTTTCTCAGTAGTCATTCTTAGTCGCGTACATCACTTTGAATTAGTAACTAACTCTAACAGTTATCACGTTTTTTTTCGTTGATCAGACCAGAAAGCAAAAGTCATTTCAAGAAAATTTTCTCGGGTTCGTTACATTTTAGCTTTCATTTATCGGAGAGGCTTTGAAATTATAATTTAAGGCTTTCGAGTGGTGATAGCCTACTATTCTGTAAACTTACGTTCCTCCGAAGCACTTCAGTTAATATACCTCAATTCGATATTCCGTTTATGAAGCTAAATCACTGATGAAATTTTTCATCATGTTTAACTGAGAAGCTCTTTGTTCAAGGCAGCGGAGGTTTTTAATGAAGTCACAAAAAATAGAAATGTGGTATTGAAGAAGAAAACAGTGCAGCATTACAGAGATGATTCTATTGGAAAGTAATTGACTTTTGGTACGTGTAGAAGACGAATAATCACTGACAATTTTAAGGGCAGAGCAGCATTATTCATCACTAAGTTTCAGTGATAAGATATCTATCTCTACTCTACGCTACCCCAGCTTGAAATTAGTGGACCTGTCACGTAAAACTAAATTACCAGCAGTCAGATACCCGCTTCCTTATTGGGGTCTTAATCAACTAGATAAATTTGTTGTGTATTACTTTGTACAAGGTGCCTGAAAATTCTTGAGAATTAAACTAATTCTTAAGTTTATTGTGCCTCCTCGTGTCTGTGTTTTATGAAATTGTTGATTTGTTTGCTCGGCTTACCCATTTAAGTTTAAATTGCTTTTCTGATGTATTTTTTAATGATTCATTACCGTTTTTTTGATTCCTGCTCAAACAAAGGTTATTTTTAAAAAGTATATTTTGAAAAGTCAAAGTGTAATTAAATTTCTCTGAAAGATAACTGACTGCGACTGTTGCTTTTTAACATCTACAGTACAGTTCATTAGTGCAATGACAAAGGAAAATTTTAGTTCACAGTCTTCCACTCTATTTTTTCTGTTATTAGTTCGTTCTTTCGTATTATTCGCTGATTATGTGTCGCTCTGTGTCTAATAGGTTTTCTGTCTAAGTTGAGTTCCTGGCACGCCTTTTGAACAAGGTTTTTATGTTAAGCTTGGTAGACTTTTCGAGGGGGGTAGAAAGATATTCAAATAACACTACTAATTCTTCTTTGAAAGACAAATTAAAGCGAAACATAGAATAAAGTGAAACTACTGGTCCTAAAACTTAGATACTTGTTATATTCGAGACTAAATCCATAAAATGTCAGTAGTGGGATAAGCAAAGAAGGAGGGAAGGAGGTACGGAGAAAGAATTGAAAGCATAAAAAGAAACGCAGTAAGAATGATGTAACGCAGTATTATAGAAAAAGTAGAAACTAAATAAAATTACAGAAATATTTCAAAACTGAACAATCTGTAATATTAGCTGACGGTTTGATTTCGTGGGGGCAATTATTTAACTGTACATAACTCAACATAATTTTGTAACGCTTATTTGCAAAAAAAATTGTACTTTTACATTATAATTACCACTGCTCATTAAATTCAGTGCTGTTATCTAATCAAATGACTGCTTATTTCCCAATGATAGCAAAGAATCTTAAACAGTCTTAACCGTTAGCAGTGTATAAAATTCTTCTGATTTAAAGTATCCTGTTTTTGCAACACAGATTTTTATCTAGATTTGGTTTTGAAGAAAAATTGTGCTGCAGGACTGCTGTTGACCTACTTCTAAGTTAGCTATGTAACTCTGTTATCTCAACGACAGTCTGAGTTGAAGCCGCATTTACAACGATTTTTCAAGAGAACGATGAAGACAGTTGCATTGTTTTTTCTGTTTAGCAACTACGTTTAGGAAAGAAAGAAAATATGAATACAGTTTTTTATCAAGAACTATCATTAACAGTCAGTTTAGCACTGCACAGGCTGTAAACATGGAAATACCATTAAAGTTTTTGGTTCAGAGTATTCTGCGTCTGTTTATTTATCCATCTTTTTGGTGCTTTAAGCTCAGATGTTACCGAAAAACTTTGTCGGCTGGTAATTTGAGAAACATAGGCATTTAAGATGAGTATCTCATCTTTTGGGAGAATTAAAAATGCGTTCTTCCTGAACCCTCGGTACATTACGTATGGTTAAGAAATTTTTAGGCGTCTTTGCTGTTTACTTTAAAAATCATAATCAACTACTGTACATATCATCGAAAATGGAGATCTACAAGATGCTTTCATACTTCAAGAGACCAACTGGCGGTATGTGAAAAGCCCTTACAACAAAATGAAAACGCTCTTGCTTGGACACTTGTTCAGCGTTGGTCGCCGTAATATTCATTTTAATAACCCCCTTGCGCAGTATAACTGAATAAATCAAATTAAAAACGATAAGCTCAAAGTTTGATAAAAAAAGAGCAGTCTAAACCACAGTAAATACGGAAACTAATAAGTAGCGATAGTAATGTCTTCAAGGTTTTTATTTCTTTAAAAAATTTAGTTGTAAGTGCTTTCTAAGCAGAAAGTGACAGAATGCCCAAAAATAGTAATTTTTAACTGCTAATAAGATAAATTCAACTGTTGAAAATTGTGTTGAATAAAGTAACTGAAATGAGCTCCCTAAGCTACACAAGTACTAAGTTGTTTCATTTGCTAGCTCAGCTGACAACTATATCTTAAATTTCACTGTTTATTATTCTTAAACAGTTTCTGATGCCCCTATGAATACACGATATCAGAGCAGTCATGTTGCTAATTCACCACACAAAAGAGTTCACTTTTTTCATCATTTCATATAAAACTTCTACATTCTTTTTTTCGTTTACGCTGTGCTTTTTATCGATATCCTTCAAAACACGCGAATAATAGCCGCTTTTTTGTAGCATTTACATTCTGGAAATTAAATTTTTAGGTTTCAAAACGGTATAAAATGTATTTTCATCTTCTTACTTTTTCTAAAACTAAACCTTGCTGCTAAATACCAATTTTGTTAACGTCTTTACAAGGCAGCAGAAAAGCGCACATGCGTTGTGAATATGGGGTAATCTCAAGTCAGTTCTTTACCGGATCATAACTTTGCATGATTTCAAGCAAACTTCTTTAATTTCCAAATGAACGGTTAATTCTGAGATGGCAGTGCTGTATAAATTTCTATAAAATATAATCAAATGAGAATAAACAATTTTTTTAAAATGAGTTCTTTAGACAAATGGATTGTTAGATTACACAGCTTAAAAAAGTTATTTCTGAACCGCTTTATTCTGGCTTATAGAAGAAAAATCACCTTCTGAAACAGGCCTCCTCACATTTCCACGCAAAATATTCCAGAAAAAAACTGTTTGAGATAAAGATCCCAAGAAAGAGTAGTAATTTCCAAAATATTTTAAAAAATCGCGTCTTTTTTTATACTTAAATGCTAAACTTTGTTAAAGCATGCTCGACTGCCGAGGATTTGGTCAAAATCGCCAAAACTGTCCCTCTGCTTTACTTACGTGTAGACAATATGCAAAAGGCGATGCGAAAAATTAATAATTTGGGAGAACCGATTGATATGGTTAATATGCAGTGATGATCAATAATCGACTTTTTTGCAGATGGAAAACCCCAAGACAGACCAGTTGTGTTGGGACGTTGAGGAGGGCGATTATCATGTAGTATGTAAGAAGTTGGATCAAAGTTCTTCCTCCTTCGACGAGGCAACAAAAAAAGCGACGGTTAGCAACTGCTCAGATAACCATTATGATGCCCCAACACTGTTATCCTCAATCTTTCTAGGTGTAGGGAATCATTCGCAGATTGAAGACAATTGTGAACTCAGTTTGCCAAAATTTTCCAAAAATTGCACACGAGAACTGTTTTTAAAAGAGGTAGAGGAATAAAAGTTCTTGGTGGAATATTAAGAAATAATATCCATTGTTATGGCTTAGGCGAGAACAAATAACGCGAATAAGCTTCTAAATAAAACGTATAATGAAGAGATAAAAAAAAAAATTTTTTTATCAACTAATAAGAGTAGATTAATCTCAACAGAGAAAAAAAGTACGTAAAAATTTGTATCCTAATTCTCTTTTCTAACACTTGATGAAGACGTCTCATTTCAGGAGTCCGTGTTAATGACTGCCTCTCAGAAAGGCCATACCAGCGTAATAAAAGGATTGGTAGAAAGGGGAGTGAGCATCAACGTAGGAGACAGGGCTGAGGTAAAGAAGCATTATCATTACCCGCAAATTTTAACGTTAAACTTTTTGTTATTGATTTTCTAAGCAGCTTTTCCAAAGTCTTACTTCTCAAAATCTTCTTCAAAGAACTAATAAGATGGATATATCCTACATTTTCTGCAAAAGAATTCTTCATAATGCAAATTAGAGCTGAGATTTTGTCTAAACTTTTACTTTGTGAGACATCCTATGCACAAATCTTCCTTTTGTTCATGTTAACTAAATGAACTTTCAAGGTAGCATAGAAACAACATCGAACGAGCGTAACATCAATAAGAATACAAGTTAAAAGAATTTGTAATAAGCACTGTCAAGTTACATAAAAAATAACAACTCTTATGACCAAATGACAGTGCTCTGAATGAAACAGGGAACTAGGCTAAACTAAACAGGAAACCTATCCTCCTAAGGGGAAAAACTGAAAAGGCCAGATGAGACATATTCCCACTGGAAGAAAGATTAGTTCTTAGGCTTTTGGTAATAATTTATACTTTAGTGTTCGCTGCTGTACTTGGCAAGCAAATATGGACAACTTGGTGCAGTGATGTGTTTAATGGAGAATGGAGCCAATTTCTACTATAATAACTGTGGGGTAAGCCACCGTACGGACAGTTGGAGAACTCCAACAACGAAGTTGTCGAAACTCCTTTTTCAGTACTTTTTATAGTGTAATTGTCAGAATTGTCAGAATTGTTGTTCTTTATTTTCTTACTAATAATCTTGTAACACTTGCAAACTTCAAATTAGTCTGAGTGCGGTTTAAGGTAATGTCGTTATCCGTTGCCTCGCAGAGAGGTTACGATGATGTCGTTGAATATTTACTGAAAATCTGGCCTTATTTAAATCACGAAGGTAGAAATCAGGTAAAAATTTAAATTCAATTGTGAATCATTATCTGTTGGTGTCAAAATGTTCTCATTTTCTGACGAACCGTGGTAGCTTTTTGATTTATTTACGTTTTTTTTGTTGTTCAAAAAGTTTCTCTTATTTTGACGTATTCTTACTCATCAAGTTAGCACAAAATAATTCTCCTGGAGCAGGCTGTAAGAAAACTAAGTACGGATTACTCCGCTATTATAATGATTCTTTAATGCTCTGTAACACAGAAAAGGCAATGGCAGTGTTCAACAACTTGTACAGTTCTACGCTTCCGAACTATCTTTGAAAAATAAAAAGTTTATTGCAGGAAACGACACTGATGGTTGCTACTCAAAATGGCCACATTGAGGCTGTCAGATACTTGGTTCGACGAGGAGCCTCACTCAATACAATAAGTGATAAGGGGGTAATGTTTGAATAAAGTTGTGCGGTCAGTCTATTCAACACTATTTTCAGAATTTTTTAGAAGAGCTTTTTACAGTTTTTACACTCATTTATATCTGGAGCACAGCTTTGTTTCCGTATTACATTCTGCAGAAGCTCTTCAGTGCATTATGCGAAATATTACGGAGCATAATACTGTTTATTTGAGAGGCGGCACTGTTTTATTACGTCGCGACGTAACATATTTATTTTCTGATTTTAGTGGACTCCCTTAATGATAGCCTGTCAATATGGCCATCTGAAGGTGGTAGAACACTTAATAAGTGAAGGGGCTGATGTCACTCTGAAAGGGATCAATGAGGTAAATCACTGTATTAAAGGTTTTAAAAGTCAACTTGAAGTTTACTGCTCACCTGCTGAGTATCTTTTTTTATTAATTGGAAGCTGGTTTACGTTAACTTTCAAATCATTTGTAACTAACTAGCAACTTTATTCCAGATGTCACCGTTGTGGATCGCTTCTAAATACGGTCACACAAAAATTGTGCACTGCTTAGTTGATAAGGGGAGTGATGTCAACGACAAGAACAAATACGGTGTACGTTATTTGTTTCAATAATTAATGTTGTAAATTCAAAAAAGTGTTCCTTTCCTCTAACAACAGAAACAAAAAATAAGAGCTCATATCGAAGTAAAACTGTCTTTTAGAAGGGTTGCGTAAAGTAACGTCAAAGAAAGAATCTTCTGGTTGCTTGTTGGGTCAATGTCTTTAACTTAAATTTTTGACAAGTACAATAAGTGGAAAATAAATGTCTAAACTAAGACACTGTTTCGGATCACTGTATAGTCACAGTCTCCAAATGAATTAATTTCATAAGAAGGTTACATTTGTTGAGGTTAGAGAATTTCTGTTGGTATATTCGTGTCTGGAAACTCTTACTTTAGTATATAAAATTTTGAAATAATATCATTCACTCCTTTGTGGTACCTGTTCATTAATTGAATAACTAAGCGGTATTGCAGTGTTCTTTTCTGCATTCTGGTCGTTGTTGATGTAATCGTATCATTTACTGAAGAATTGAGCTTTTTCAACCATTTTCAAATCCAGAATGATAAGCCTGCACTTTTTTGAATATCGTTTTTGTGCTTTAAACATGATAAAAAAGTACCTAAGTTGAAGAGGATGCAGCAGAAAAACCTAATCAGCTTTTTTAATACTGCAAGCTATTGAAGAACCTCAAATAGAACAACTGTAAATTTCGGTCGAATGAGGGCAAGATTTAGTAATTTGTTTTGATAGAAATTTCGCACATGAATTTTAAAGATATTTTCAGCTGTACTAGGTGAAGTCTTCCTACAATTGTTAGTACACTGATAGGCAAGTATAGCTGTTGTTTGAGCTCTACAATACTGCACGGTCTCGTCTGAAACTTACCTGTTTTAGGTCTGTAAATCAAATAACGCATCTTTACTCATTTGTTCAATTTTCTTTATCATTAACTTCTCGCTTAATGCATCTTTACTTTGTAATTTCTTCTAGGTAGGTTCTTTTAATAATTTGTTTAAAAAAGGACGGAATTTAGTTTTGTTGAAGAGTTATACTTTCAAATTTACTTCTGAAATCATTCAAAAAAAATTTTAAATTGGTATTTTGTCTGCGAACTTAGTGAATTGTAAAGTCTCTGCCAAAACTTACTTTGCTTTCTGAATCTTACATTAAACTTTTAACTCAAACTTTTGAGTCTCAGAGCATCAAAGAAAGTATTCTCCAAGTCTTCATTCTAATTTTTGAAAAGCTAATACCTTTTGAGGTACTTCATTTCAAGATCACAGATGTTTCTTCAGCAGTTGTCTCAAAAGGACCCTTTTTCGGCTTTTGATAATGATCATGAATTTCTTACTTTCTCACTGTCCATTAATACAGTTAGCATAATATTTTCATTAAAGAACATAACTTTATCCAATCAACAAAATGTAACTTTGAAAGTAAAATGCAATTACTCCAAGGGCACTAATACATAACCTGACTTTCTTCACTTGTCTAAACTGTCTCGTACACTTTTTAAACCTTAAGAAGCTAGAAAAATTGCAGATTCTGTTTAGAAGTTTGATGTAGTATATCGTTCCCCAAGAAAAGTCCTGTTTTCAATTTTACCCTATTAATATCCTTGATTATTGGAGCCGGTTATCATAAGAAAATTAAAATTGAAGAAAAGCTTTTTCTTGTGCTTCAGTGGACTCCGGTGATGATCGCATCGCAAAAGGGACACCTATATGTTGTGAAATATTTGATAGAGAAGGGAGCCACTGTCACTGGAAAAACCAGTAATGGGGTAAAGCAATAACAGTTATCATTAAAGCTGTTTTTTTTCAATAATTCTGACACATTCATTTGTGTTTTCCACCATTGCTTTTGTTATTTTTGGGGCTGAATGTTAATGTATACTACTGGAACTTATTCAACGCCTTCTCCAATTTTACAAACCTGCTTTGGTTTAGGAACTTGAAGCGGCACACAGTCGACTGTATGTTTGAGCTTTTTTTGTTGAGTTTCTTTCTTGTTTAGAAGACGCTGTTGGATATTGCTTCCGAAAGAGGCAACGTCGAAATTGTGCAATACATCCTTGAAAACCAAGTGGGCATTAGTACAAAAGGAAACTTGGTAAGGCTATAATTGAAAATGAACTTGATTATAGACTGATCGCTCTTCATTGTCACCGCTTGTTTATTCGTCACAATACACTAGAAATTGGGCGGTGCGAACGGCAAAAAATCCACTTTTACTATCTTGATCGTAGTTTAACATATTAAGCTGCTGCTGAAAGATTTTTACTCTCTACTTTCGTTATCTTAATGGCAAAAACAAAATGTCTTTTCCATTTTTAGTTTACAAGCAATAAATTTTTTGTGAGCAACATATCTAGTTTCATTGTATAGGTTGCTTGTTAATTCAGTTAATTATATATCACTAAGGAAATTCTTCTATATAATAGCAAAAATCAATTTTATATCAATGAGACGGAAAAGTCGTGGCTGTTAAACCAGCATGGTAAATCAACGACTGCCACAAATTAAAATGCTACGATAGATCCAGTACAACTTTGGTTACGATGCTGCTCGAACTTTTGATGAAATTGAAATTGGCTTAGAACAGTTAGCTTTTCGTTTTCAGAGTACAGCGTTGATTGGTGCAACTCAAAGTGGCCACACGCCTGTTGTAAAGTATTTAATAGAAAAAGGAGCAGATGTAGACGTTGAGAATAGCGACAAGGTGAAATACACTAAATTATTATGAGGATAAAATTTTTTTATTATTAGAACACTACTTGTCTCTTCAACAACAGATTTTACATTAAAGTTATGTGCGTTAGTTTTTAAGAAAAATTTTCTTGCTAACATTCAAATTTTACAATATTTATCAGAAATTTTTTCAAAGCAAACTTGCTGAGTACATAGTGTAGCTCAATTGTTTATTTCAGTTAACGCCACTGATGATGGCTTCGTGTGAAGGATATTTTGGAGTTGCAAAGGTTTTGATGGAAACTCATGCTGATATCGATAAAATTAACAAGAAAGAAGTGGGTTTGAGCACAGACTTATTTCATTTACTACACAACTTTACTGGAATTATGCTTTTTAGGAAATAAGATTTCTGAATAATTGAGGACGACCCTGAGGAATGGTTGAGTTTAATGTCTAGTTAGCTTAAAGAGAAATTAAAAACGAAATCTGAAAGGAGATTTGAATATATTTTGCACATTACACAAAACCTGTATTAATCCAAACTGTGCACTGGGAAAATTTAAGCAGATTTGAAATTTTACTTTTGAGCTCACTTATTACTTTTTTAGGAGACTGCATTACATATAGCAGCAGAGAGTGGTAATATTGACATTTTAAGACTATTGATACGTAACGGTGCCCAAATTGCTGCAAAAAATGTTGAAGGGGTAAAGTATTATTCATATATGGCTCAATTTTAAATTATATGGCCTGCTTTTACTTTTTGCTTTTCTTTGTCCTGGTATGCTTTTTCGTCAGACTCGAGGAAAAGAAAGTTTTAGAGTTTGTTGCTGGTGTCAAAAAACGACATCGTTTTTTCTTCATTGCGATATGCTTTTCAGCGTTGCTGTCTCATTTGCAGACCAAATTTTTTTAAAATTATAATTAACTCAAGTGTGCTAACCATTTTCAAAGAGTAATTTCGCCAAGAAATTTCTTTTAGACTTCTCTAGTGTCAAAAGTTGTTAGTAATTTTTCTCTATATAATCTACCACAGAGCACTGCAAATGGAGTTACGAGGGACAACGTTCTTTCTAAAAATTTCGTTTATTTTGTTAGCGAAAAAACAAGGCTTAATCAACTTAATCACAGCAGTGGTACCAAAAACAAGAACAGTACTCATTCAACTGGTTGGAAAAGTTTCACAGTGGGCATTTTTATAGTTTATCAGTGGTCTCCTGCTTATATGCTTTCAAAAGTGCAAAGAATCTACAAATTTCTCTCTGTATGAAAGTACAGTAGCTCAAGATGTGTTCATTATACGCTGCCTTTAGTGCTGGATGTTGTGGCTTATAGAGAGCCAGGATTTGGAAACTTTTCTGTGCAGTAACGGACAAGCTAGATCTAGTTTAAATGCTGTATAAGATGCATTTTAAATATGACTTCTCACTACACATTTTTATGCATCCTCTTGGGAAAAAAACTTTCTTTTTCAAACCAATTTGTAGTATCAGGCGAAACGAAACAGAAGTGTGAGTTATAATAATAATAATAGTAATAATAATAATGTTTTCAAGAATTTCTAAGGTGTTTTTTTTTCGTTGTCTTCTGGTTTTTTTAAAGCATAAATTGCCACTCCAGATGGAAGCTTTGCATTTTGCTGCGAAAAATGGCCAAATGGACGTTATAAGGTACTTGGTAGAGAAGACGACCAACATCAATTCAGAGAACAATGAAGGGGTAAAATTTTACGGGACGACCGTGTGAGTTAGTGTTCAAGCAGTGGTTGCTTCATTTTTAAGCTTCTTCTGCTACAAAAATTTCTGTTTTACCTCTTATTTAGAAAAGATTTTTTTAACAATTTAGTTGGCATATAAACAGCTTGTTGTCTTTCAGTGGACGGTGAGAGAAAGCGGATTTAGGAGTGCCTATTTGTTTAAAAAACTGTAGAACACCATTTACTGTTATTTTAGGAGACATCAATTTATGTTGCTTCGCAAGGCGGTCATAGTAATGTTGTGAAGTATTTAATAGAGAAGGGAGCGAGTACAGAGGCAAAAACTAAAAGAGGGGTAATGGTTTTTTTAATTAACGCAAAATAGTGTGGTTGTGCCCAAGTATTTCAGCTCATCAGGAAGTTATAAGTTAAACTTATAAAGTGTTTATTACCCCTCTTCGACAGTAGGTTGAAGGAATAGTGCTAATCACAAAAAAAAAAAAAAAAAACTTGGCAATAATGGCAAGTTTTGTACTCTCATTTTTTGGAGTGTTATTCTTTTTTGGCTATTCCTATTTTAAACTTTGTTTTAAGAACTGGCGTAATATCATTAATTTATCGACTTGCAGCTTGTCATAATTATTTACACCAAATCCTCCTAATCTTTTTTAACTTTCTTTTTTGTGAAAACGACAGCTATCTAACAATTTTTATAAAAAAAGTGCATTGTTTTAGCGGGACACGTATGGCAATTTGAAACCAAATTGTAATAAAAGATACCACTGTTTAGGAAATACATTGTAGGAGATGGAAATAAAAATGATCTGTTTTGTAAAACCCTTGAATTAAATGCTGGTCAAGCGGTAATTAAAAACTGAAAAGTCAAGGCTGCTAGATAGAAGAAATGAAAAAATGATATTCTGCTTTTTTTTAATCACTAGATGTTTTCTTGTCAAAGGCTCTAATACCTTTAAAAAAATTTTTAAAAAAGTTTTGCAAATGCTTTTTGATTTTTTACTTGTTCAGTCGTTATGTTGCTTCAGTGCAAGATACTTTTAAAAGTTTAATTTTTTATTTTGTCATCTGATTTTCGTTGAATCAAATTTGTGTAGCTTACATTCTCTTTTAAATTACTCAGTCTCATAAAGAAAGCGCTTTTAAGTCTCTTCATCAATAAACAACCTTTTTTCAAATTTTCTTTTGAATTTTTGGACTATACTACAGTGTATTGGAAGAGAAATTACATTCAACAGTTTCCCATAAAACTATGATATTTCTTTGAAAAAAGGAGAAAACTGGAATAGTTTGGTCGCAGCAATATTGTTGAAACCGATTATCGGTTCAAGAAGAACATCACTAATCACTCGCAGAATGAGTCATACTTGTATATTTCTTACATTGTTAACCTTTGTTTTGTTTTTCTGATTGAATAATAACGAAGAGAAATCACAAGTTTTACCTTAAAAAAGTATAGTCATCAAAGACGCTTTAATCACTTATTGTTCTTGGTGCTGTTCTTGTTGGCATACAAAAAAATTTTTTGAGATAAATGTACGTTGTAGAAGGCGAATTTGAAACTTCCTTAAACTATTCAAATGAACGGCACTTTTGAATTGTAATACTGCGAAGCACAAAACAATAGAAGTTTTCATAAATAGGTAACTTTATAAGTTTATTCGCAGTAGCAGACGAAATGAGTCAAATATAAAAATTACAAGTTAAAAAATTTTTGAGAATATGTTTATGCTGCTTTTCGTTGAAGACATTTTCTTGTTTCAGATGAAAGCTTTGCACGCTGCTTCAAGAATTGGACAAATAGATATTGTAAGGTGTTTAGCAGAAAAAACAACAAACATTGATTCAGAGAACAATGAGGGGGTAAAATTTTATCCAGTGACTATATCCATTGACTATATACACGAGTTCGTGTTCGAATACCGCAGTGTCATTTTTGAGCTTTTTCTTTTACTATTTTTAAAACATTTCTAAAACGAGCTGCCAGGAAATAAAGGTAACGGTGCAAAAAGGCGAATATCAGAGATAAATTTTAGTTGTCAAAAGTTCGTAAGTGGTTTACGCTTATTCAAATCACTATTGAACTACTTGCCTTTTTTGTTAAGCTAAGGAGCAGTTTCCTGTCGCATTGTGTTTGCTTTTTTCAAGTTAACAAAAAAATTAGCAAATATTCCGTATGGAGTTACAATGAAGAATACCAATTTTGGCGTCTTTATTTGGTCGCTGATGAACCTTTTACTAACGACTCCACCTTTTATTTACAACAATAATGGAACAGGAAAACTGCGCAGAAAGTCTGCTTTTAAAATAGAAAAACAGCTATTAATCAACAAATATTCTAAATTAAGCTATTAATTGCGAAAATTTTCTCGACTACTTATTTCAGAAAAGATTTTTTCTTGAGCAGTTTTACCTAAAACATAAAAAAATGCTTATTTTCTGAGGGAACAGAAGGGTAAAAAAATTTTGATCTATTACGGAATAATTTATGTATTTTACCATTTTAGGAGACACCGCTTTATACCGCCTCTCGAAGTGGTCATAGTGTCGTTGTGAAATATTTGTTGGAAAAAGGAGCGGCAGTCAAGACGAAAAACAAGTTTGGGGTAACAGTTTTTTTAATTTGTAAAACATTTTCAGCGTCGTTCATGCATGCCTGTCTATTAGAAAACCAAAGTTTTTTTCTAAACTTGGAAATCATTAGTAGGCTCAAAAATAACGCAAATTATTCACAAACCTCCAAAATGACTGTAATTTTTGTATTCTTATTTTTCGCGGCACTATTCGTTTTCAGCTGTTCTTATTTTACCGGTATTCCAAAACTGCTCGCAGTAGTGCTAATAAATTAGTAGCCCGTGATTTCCATCTCCGCTAAGTTCGTTTCTAATTTCCTTATTTCTTTTTTGTGGATACAGCAGCCATTATTTTATCTTACCAAAAATTGCTCTGTTCAAGCTAGATAAAAGAGTCAGAATAGAGCCAACTGTAAAGAAAAAGTATTGTTTGCTAGAAAAAATATAATTAAAAATTCTTTTGCTTAAAAGAGCTCCGCATGTAGCGTAGATCACGTGAAAATAAAGAACTTAGAAAGCAAATACTGTGAATTAAGAAGACACGGTAAATAACTGTCTGATTTTTTAAGTGGAGGGCATTGCACAGTGCATTTCTGTAGGACTATCACGAAAATGCAAATAGATTCGTAAATAGTAGACTTATAGCTGATATTTGCTATCAAGAATCACCTATTTGGTTTTCTTTCATTTTTCAATGATCTCTAATGCACAAGTGAGATTTGAAGTTACGACGTGAATCGATGAAACGTAATAGTCTACTATTAATCTGCAAATATAATCTAACGTGCACTATTTGGACATTCTTATGCTAGATTTTCCAGCTCAATGAAGAAAGAATAAAAAAGAAATATTTTTTTTCAAATCGTGCTCCAAATTAAGCCTTAAAGACCGCTACGACTGTTAAAGAGTAATTTCTTGAAAAACTCTGGAACAAGCAATTGAATTCTAAAGAAAGCCTTCCAAAAAAGCAAGGATTTTTACACAAGTTTTTATATAAAAAATTTTCACTTTTTTTTGCAACAACGCCAAAATGCAGTGATACAATAAGTTCTGAGATACAGAGAAATTTTGAAAAGATCAAAAGAGGTTTCCTATAAACCTCTTTTATACAAAGACTGAAGAGTTAAAAGAAATGTAAACGCAAAAAGAAATAAAACTGAAATAACTGTCTTTTCTATTACTGTTATCATCTTTTCTCCCTTTAGTTCTTATCATTTTTGTCATTTTGAACTGGTTTCTGAAAACTTTTTGTTATTTAAGTATTCGCCTTTGTGGATCGCTTGTAAAAATGGACATTTGGAAGTCGCAAAGTATTTGATAGACAGCAAGGCTGATATAAATGCGGAAAGCAAAAGCAAGGTAATTTTTTCATGAATTTAAATTGGGGCTTCAGAAAAGGAAACGGTTTGATGGCAACTGGTCTCCAGCTGTTGTGAAAATTTGCTGTTTAGCCTGTAACAGTGCATTGCGAACTGCAGAAGATGTCACTTTTATAAGGGGTCATGAACTTCTATTCAATTTTGACTTTGTCAGACATCTCAACCGCAGTAAATTCATGAAGTTCGCGAAAAGCGACGTTTTGTTTGTCTCAAGAGAAAATCACTGTTTTTTCTGGCTATGTGGGAACAGTACATTTTGACTGTTTTTCTCTTTAGCTTATGCTCTAGATATTAAAGCATTCTAAGCACAAAGTTCTTGATGAAATTAGTGTAATTGTAAGGCAGTGGGAAAAATTATATTCAGTCCTCACCTTTCAATTAGATCGGAAAACGTTCTTCAATTATTTAGTGGACGCCCCTATTCATTGCATCTAAAAACGGATCTTTGGAAGTCGTGAAATTTCTAGTAGAAAACGGAGCGGAGATTAATGTAAAAGACGATTATGAGGTAAATGTTTGTGTGAAGTCTAATGAATTCATTTGTTACTTGTGTCCCAATTGATAAAAATCTCAGAAACAACACGTTATGGAACATTTTGCTGGTCATTATAGGTAACAAAGGATTAAAAGCTTTTTCTTTATATTTTTCATTTCCATTTGACGAGTGTGGCACCTAGCAGGAAGAATTTTGTACAATTACATCTTTTTTAAATATAAAATGCTTGTATTGCATGTGTTTACGCTGCTGCTGTCAAGATCACGGCGTGGAGAAAAGATCCTGATCAATATCCATTACAAATTATGATGCTCTAGTATCGCTATAAAAAGACGAAATAACTAAATAAAAGACAGTGTCGAAAAAACTAACTTCAACTTTATTTTACGAAAACCGATTTAGAATACGCCATTGCAAGTTGCTTCTTCATGCGGTCATACTGAAGTTGCAAGCTACTTAGAGAACATTGGTGCTACTGACACCTTGAAATACACGAATAAGGTGAATCGGTTTAACAGCAATCTTCTCGTTTTCATTCGACACTACCAGCCATATTTCTTTTATTGGTATTATGGAGTGTTTCCAAATAGTATCTGTTTGAGAGAAAAAGTAAACAAGCTGACTTTAGGAGGAATCGCTGCTTACAGCGTCACAGAGCGACCACGTCGAAATCGTTACATTTTTGTTGGGAAATGGAGCAAAAATCGACGCAAAAAAGGACAGTGGTGTAAGTTGCATTTGAATGGGTCGGATAATTTTCCAATAAAATTTTAAATTTTTACTTTCAAGTTGCATCCTCAAAACTGCTGTGCTCTCTGGCAGTTCGAATAATAAGCATTTCAAAATACCATAACTATAATAAGCTACAACAAATTTGTTCTGTTACCGATAGTTTCCTAAATTATTTCTTTTTTTGCCCCAAACGTTTGACAGAAACATAGAAAAACAGAAAATGAACCCTTGAGTTAAATTAAAAATTGTACGTTTCTCCACCACCACTTACAAAGCCAATTAGCTACCTCCAATTTTACCCGTAAGCCGTAAACAATATAGTAGAATTGAAAAATTGTCGCATTTTCGTTTTTCACATTTCTCACTTGTTTCCCACAAACTGCACTTTGTATAATCTATTCTGACGAATAAATGACGGTTGAAGTTTACACCCTAAACAGTACTGGTAAAGTTTGTTTAGATGGACTAAGCATATAAAGCAAAAGATGACTTTGACTAATTTTTTGAACATTATGTTAATTTGATATAACAGAAACAACTAAAACATATAACTTTGTTTTCCTGTTTCTCAGCTAAATATTTTCCTTACAAATGAAATTTGTTGTTCAGGCCTGATTTCATTCCAAATAAAAAATTTACTTTTTAGAGAATTTCAAAAAACTATTCAACAGGTTTTTAATACTTGTGAACGGTTTTAAAAAAAGAAAATCAGGAAAAAGAAAAAGAAGAAGTTTAAAAATGTAAAGAATAGAGAAGTACTAAGACTTGAAATTTCTAAGAAAGTGTTTAACGTTTTATTTGAAATATTTCAAAGCATTGATAAAAGGTTCTTGAACTGTAAAAGCTGAGGTACGCAGCGGTCCAACTTACTGCTTTTCTTCTCTCAGAATAATTATTTTTTGACAACTAATTTTGTTAACTAATTTTGTTACTTCAGGAAACAGCACTGCACTTGTCTTTGAAGAATGGCCATTACGGAGTTGCAAACCTTTTAATTGAAAAAGGAGCTGATGTCAATGAAAGAGGGGGAGAAAACGACGTGAGCGTTCATTTTGAGAAGTTCTATGAATAAAATGAAAATTCTGTTCACATTTCTATTTTTAACTTTATACTTTTAAGCCAAGAATTTAAAATGTGACAGAACTGTCAAAACAAGTCTGTATTGAAGATTTAGTGATGAAAGGTAGGTGAAGAGAAACTCTGTGTTCAGTTTCGGAAGAAAATGCTGACTGGTAATATTACTCTTTCTTTTCAATCTTGATTTAGAAGACACCTCTGCATTATGCATCAGAGAACGGTCAGACGGAGGTTGTGGACGTACTACTGCAAAAGGGAGCTGACATAAACGGGGGGGATAAGAATAATGTGAAGATTTCTTTGAAAAGTTTGACAACACCCAAGGCTTTTTTAACATCATTTCGTTGATTATAAAAATTCTCTGCGTTTCTCACTAAGTGTCTTAAAAGTTTCTTTACTGCACTTGAAATTTCTGTACAACACACAAAGTACTCCGATTTTCACTTTATAGTTCTTAATAACGATTATTGCATTCCTTTCAGAATACACCGCTGCACGATGCATCGAAAAATGGCCATGTAGAAACCGTAAAACTCTTAATACAAAAAGGGGCTAACGTGAATAGAAAAAACCAAAATGGAGTGAGAATTTTATTGAAGTGTTTTATTGAAGCTTTATCAAGAAGACATCTGAGTTTTTGATAGTTCGTTTCTGTATATCATAAAAGTTTGATAAGTTTTTTAGACGATATCCAAATACATATTTTTAGTGGATTTGTGAGTATCTCTGTTAAATGCAGCATTGCCCTGATTTCCATCCTTAGATAAAAATTTTTTATCTAGTCTTCTATGATATACAAAACTAAAAACCAGCTGTGTTCCTCAGAGAAACAGCAAACTCCAAGTTTTTGTAATTGTTTCACAACAACACAACTTCATTAATCATCACAGTAAACTCTTCATACCCATCGTATTCAAACAAGTTCCTGTAACTAAATTGAAGAAAAATTTTTTTT